AAAAAAAGAAAAAACCGCATAAAACCGCATAAATCTCTGAATTGGCCAAGAGAAAAAAAAAAAAGTAAAGAAAAAAAGCAGATCGATTTTAAAATGTTTATAAAACGATAATCGAACGCGTTGAAGTTGAGCAGAGTTTTCTAAAAACAGTAGATAAGTACTTTCGAGAATATTGTGAACATATTACATATTATCTATATCAAATGGTATCTAACAATTAATTTTTTTTTTTTTTTTACTATCAAGGGATTTATTACGCATAGAATAATCCCTTCGCCCAATCGCCGCACAATGGCACGATTTTTACTTCCATTGCAATGATTCGTCCAACAATTGTCATCGGGATGACTTGTCAGACACAGCATCGTATCATAGATACTTCGAATTCTTCAGATATCTATTCTCAGTAGTCATGCCGTTATAGTATTTACAAGTAAAATAAACATATCTGTTCGACTGCGAAAATTACATAAATTTTTGTGCAATGTTTATCGCAGTTCCTTTCATCTATAGTTTTCTTCTTTTTCATCTATATCATTATATAAAGTATAACTAAAGTATATAAACTCTTCATTTCATTTTATAATGCTTCGTTAATTCTAATACTCTCTGATTACGATTTTCTCTTCCTCTTTCTCTCAAGAAACACCCATACACGTCATATCTTATACACTCACGCCAGACGCTTCCATTTTTCTATACTCACACGCATACTCTCTCTTCCTTCCTACTTGGATCTCATAGTATTTTTTAACAATGTTTAACAATGGCTTAGGCCTCCCTTTATCCCTTGCAAGGTGTTTCGATGTACAAATATCGATCGTGTGTACGTTTGGAGTTATACAATACTATATGACTTGTAATTTTATTAATGTAGTAAAATAATATCTTCCCCTCTATATTATTATTCCATTTCATAAATCATCTTTGGATTTAGAATGCAGAAGAGTATTGTCTTTCCTTCTCTGAGAGAAGGAAGCTCCTTTTTCGAAACGTGAGTTACTTTATTACGTGATCATATATATTATTCTTCCCTTGCTCTTCTTCTTTCTTAAACAAGACAATATGATGAAAGCCTGCGGCGGGTTGAGCTTTTATATAATTCACTAGTGAGCGTTATCGTTGCTAAAATACAGTAAATTTCTTTATCACGCGAACATTTCACAATTTTTACATGTTATTATCCCAATGGAACACAGATACTCGAACACACTTAATGTCATTTAAGTCAACATTAGTAATCGTGAGAAACATTCGATACGATATCTCTTCAATTTTATATACAATATGATGATTTTTACTGATATGTGTACATCAACTCACCTTGATATGCCTGTCTAAGATTACCTGCCTCACCAGGTTATTACATCAACGTTCATCAATTGCACTAAAGTCTTGCAGCACTTTACACAACTCGCTAAAACTTCGTACATCAACAATATTTTTTCCAATAAAAACTTTCCTCTCTTTTCAATGAATAATGATGTACTCATGCTGTGGAGTAAGGGGATGCATAGTATCACAGTTGGCACGTGGGCGCTAGCTACCACTACTGCTTACAGGCAGTGTATGTGGAGCTCCCATCGACGTAGGAGGAGCAGTCAATGGTCCTGTAAAGGCAGAAATTAATTTTGCAGAATTTACGTTTCACTCTCTTACTTTACGATTGTTCGAAATAATGCTCGAGTAATTACCAGTTACGTTAGGTGAGGGTTCGGAAACAGGTAGTGGACTCACTAGACTGTTAGCACTCATAGGTGTCGAGTTAGCTTTCAATTTTTGCCTGACTTCTCTAATCTTTAACTGCAAACTCGTCTTATTAGGAAATATATCCGAGTGTTTCGCTTGAAAGGTTGTAGTTGCTTGCGTCGAAGGGAAATAACCGTGTTCTTGAAACAGTTGCATCACGAGATGTCGACGTTGCTCTAGCACTTTCCTGTGACCCCGTTCATTTTCGTTCCTGCCGATTCCTACACCCGAGTTTCCAGCACCCCCTCCAGGTGTTTTCGGTGTCCTAGGAGAGCCAGCGTCGACATCTCCTACCAGATCCGTGTTAGCTCTGTATGCATCGACGTTGAAATCGGGACCGAAGAACGTGTTCCCTGTCAACTTGACGCTGGAAGTTGATTTTGGAGTGGCAGATATTGACGTATCTGATTCGATGTCGTCCTCATTCACTGTTTCAACAACAACAACAAAAAAAAGAAAAAATAGTTTTGTCAAAGGGCAAGAATCATCTTTCGAAACGTCGTCGAAACAATTAATTACTTGTGGGCCTATGAGGTGCTTGTGCAGATTTCTTCCGATAACTTTGCATCTGTATCGATGATTGTAAATTTGACGAATGCAAGCCAGACGTTACTACCGGGCCATGGCCAGACGAACCCGCTGTGTTAATGCTGATCGCGCTTGGACTCTGTATATCTTCTGGTTTAAATTCTGGCAAGGATGAGAATTTTTCTTGGAAATTTACTTGCTCGAGAACTCTGTAATCAATTACGTTCCCCTTTGACATTTTACTTCGTCGTATATTTAAAATTAAACAAGCGACGTAATTAAAAAGATAATGTTTAATTTACCACTGATCGATTTACCATACCTGTCCATTCCATCTTCGACGTTCTTCTTGAAGAAAGAACCCTTCTTGGTAGATGGTGATGGGGAAGCGTGAGATTCTGAGAAATTCTGCTGCTGTTGTATTTGCTCTGTGGTTTGAGATGCATTTGTTTGTGGACGATTCTCACTGTGTTGAGACATCAGAGGCCCATGGTCTCCTGCATTTGACGCGGGAGGCATTGCTGCGAAAAAATAAGAAAACCAAGATGTGAATCTATTTTGTCGGTAGAAAAAATAAAAGTATATAAAAACTCTTCTCTGAAAAATTTCATCAAATTTTTCTATTGAAGAAATGAATTCTATCGCACTGACGATTATGTTTATTACTGTTACTACATAAACTGATAATATTGTACCCATTGACTGTCTCCTTTGTAGCGGTGCTCGGCCAAGTTGTGCCGGAGTTGGAGCAAGCATAAAGGGACCCTTACTTGGACCAATATCGTTAGGCTGCGTTTCATCTATGGAATATGATTTATTCGCAGGAATTTCAGTGCTACCATGGTTGCTGAGTGGTGTATGAGGAGTATGTGGAGTAGATGGCTGTTTATGCTTATCATTTGTAGCAGGCAAAAGAATATTCACCGTGTCCTTTCTTTCTTGATCAGATTTTACGTTAGTTACTGAAAGAAAAGAAAAAAAGAAATCGCAAAAACGTTTAGTAGCTGTTCCTGTTCTAGATACGTACATTGTCATAAA